CGTTCTGGGACGACCTATTATATACCCCACCACTGCGTGGTTAAAGAAGCTAGTGAGACGACCAAGACTCGGGTGGTCTTTGATGCTGGCTGTAAAAGTTCAAATGGCATTTCCCTCAACGATATTCTGTTAACGGGTCCCAAGATGCATCAGGATATTGTTGACGTTATTTTAAAATTTCGTACACATTGTGTTGCGCTTACGGCCGACATAAAACAAATGTATCGTAACATTTTAGTTCAAGAGGCTGATAGGGACTACCAGCGTATTCTGTGGCGCACTTCACCTCATAATTCACTACGTGAATATCGTCTTCGTACCGTCACGTTTGGGGTTAGCTCGTCTCCCTACCTGGCTCTTCGGGTTATAAAACAGCTCGCTCATGATGAGGCAGAACAATTTCCTCGAGCCGCTCAGGTACTCCGTGACCAAGTCTTTGTCGACGATGTTGTCAGTGGCGCACGCGACGAGCTGAAGCACTTATCCTTCAGCGGGAGTTGATGGGTATATGCAAAACGGCAGGTTTCGAACTCCGAAAATGGCACAGTAATTCGCCCGCGATACTCGCGGCGGTACAATCAACAGTTTCTCACGGTGAGCGGGAACGAGAATTTATCCCAGTTGCTCCTATGGAGAAGGATACGAAGACGAAGGTCCTAGGTCTCCAGTGGGCCCCTCAGTCTGATCAATTTAGTTTTAGCGTTTCAGTTTCTATACAAAATGTGACTAAGAGAACTATTCTCTCACAAATTGCAAGGATTTACGATCCTATGGGATGGCTATCCCCGGTTACCGTGTACGCAAAACATTTGATGCAATTGTTGTGGATTTCAGGTGTCGATTGGGACTCTCCTCCACCAAATGAAATCGTCAATGCATGGAATAGATTCATTCAGGAGCTATCGTCTTTAGCAGACATTTCCATACCACGATATGTCTTTCCTACTCATTCTGAGAGTATTATTCAATTTCATGGTTTCTCCGATGCCTCCGAAAGGGCTTACGCTGCATGTGTATATGTTCGTTATATAGAAAACGGTATAATTAAATCCCATTTGTTGCTGGCGAAAACACGAGTTGCACCCATTTCACCGTGTTTGTCTATTCCTCGCCTGGAACTAATGGCAGCTTTATTGTTATCCCATCTTATAGACAAGGTGAAACGAGCATATTATTAACATATGAAGAATGAACATGTATATGCTTGGTGTGACTCTTCCGTCGTCTTAGCGTGGCTTCGCTCACCACCCTACGAATGGAAGACGTTCATATCAAATAGGACAAGCGAAATTTTGTCTATCATTCCGTCGAGTCAGTGGAGACATGTTCCTTCTGCTGACAACCCGGCAGACGCACCATCACGCGGAATGTTGCCATCAAATTTTGTTAAAAATAATGTCATGTGGTTTTTTGGTCCGCCCTGGCTTTCTCAAAGGGAGTCCCAGTGGCCTCTTCAAGGAACAAATTTTAAAACTAATGATGAAAAACGTAACTTACCTATTGTGTCGGTTCCCGTGGCAACAGTACAAGCCGTTGATGTCGAATATATATCAAAATTTTCCTCGTTAGGAAAACTTGTTAGAGTTACAGTACAGTTATTTCGTTTTTATAATGTTTTAAAACATAAGGTGGATAAACAAAAGCCAAAATATTCATTTTCGCAACACATAACAGTTTCAGAATACACGTTCTGCTTAAATAGACTTATTCGTCAGGTTCAACATTTTTACTTTCATGAAGATATTCAATCTATTTCCCAAGGGAAAGTTCCTTCTAACCAACTTAGAAGGTTAAATCCATTTATCGATGAAGATCAAATTTTGCGTGTAGGTGGACGGCTCCATAAATCACTCCTACCGTTTGAGTCAAAACATCAAATGATTTTACCTAAAAAACATCCCTTAACTTTCTTATTAATCGACGATGTTCATATAAGTCACTTACATGCAGGCCCACAAGCGGTTCAGTATCAACTTTTACAGAAATATTGGATTATTTCTAGTCGTGACGTTATAAGACACCGTGTACATCGCTGTGTTCGTTGTTTTCGTGCGCGCCCTGTGCATCCCCAACCAAGCATGGCCCCGTTGCCTGCAGTGCGGTTGAAACCGGAACGTCCGTTCCTCAAAACGGCAGTAGACTTTGCTGGTCCATTTTACGTGCGCGCGAATAAGGTACGAAACGCAAAGGTAGTTAAATGTTATGTTGCGGTATTTGTATGTATGTGTGTTAAGGCGATTCATCTAGAAATTGTGTCCGAATTGTCTACAGAAGCATTTCTAGCAACTTTACGACGTTTCACGTCTCGCAGGGGCCTTTGCACCGACATTTACTCAGACTGCGGCAAAAATTTTACTGGCTGCAACAACTATCTTAAGGCTTTATACCAATTCTTAAGGGATGACGCAGTCCAGAATCAACTTCATACCGAAACCTTACAACAAGGTATTACGTGGCACTTCCAACCCCCATACGCATCACATTTTGGCGGATTGTTTGAAGCAGGGGTTAAAAGCTTTAAACACCACTTTCATCGTGTTTTAGGTACGAATACCTTGACGTATGACGAAATGCATACATTGTTGTGCCAAATCGAGGCAGTGTTAAATTCACGTCCACTTTGTGTATTGAGCGCTGATCCTATTGATCCCTTGCCCTTAACACCATCCCATTTTTTAATCGGAGGACCTCTCACGGCAATTCCAGACGTTTGTCTAACTGATACGAATACCAGTAGGCTAACGAGGTGGCGCTGGATACAGCAGAATGTTCAACATTTCTGGAAGCGCTGGAGTCGTGAATATCTTCACGAAATCCAGCAGATTCATAAATGGTTTTCTGATCGCAGTGCTCCAATTCGTGAGGGCAGCATTGTTGTGGTACAAGATGATAATCTCCCTCCATTACAGTGGAGACTCGCTAGAGTTCATGCCTTACATCCGGGTACTGACAATGTTACTCGCGTGGTAACTTTACAATTAGGAAACAAATTTGTTAAGCGTCCGGTCGTGAAAATTTGCCCTCTTCCTCTAGATTAGCGTTGAATTACGAATGTCCAACCTAGTTCATAATTGAGAATAGTTAAGATTTCATTTAGTAGGTTAGTTAAAATTCATTTTCTTTTCTATTCTTTTATTTATTTATTTTTTTTTTCCGTGTTTTAGATTTAATTTCGTTAAAAGACTCACGTCTTTTAAGGTGAGCGGCATGTTCCGTACCGGAACCATTTTTCTTAATTTGTTTTATTTTTTTTCGTTATCGTTATTTACATTTAAATTGCGAGTGACAACAATGATTAAGTTGATAGGGATTTTCTATTTTTTGGTCTGGTAACAATCCTTTTCAAAGCTGAACACCGCGCTCACCTCTGATTGGCTGAGCGACGTAAAAATACTTGCGCGCCGTACGCCGAAACGTTAACACTTTTGCTTTTGAAAATTACCGTGTGTCTCGCTATTACTACGAGTACGAACAATTCCCGAAGAATACTGTGCCAGCGACCTATGGAAATACTATTCGGAGAGACAGCGTCATATCTTTTCGAGAAACCGAATAAGCCAACCAGTTCGCCGAGCCCCAGCAGCGTGAGGCAGTGGAAGGCGGAGACCGGTGAGTTACCAGACCCTTAGCTCTTTCCTGAACACCAATATCTTGGTAAAATGATCGGATTCAAACACCGCAGGACAACCGCGTACCACCCAGCTTGTAACGGATTAGTGGAACGATTCCACCGTCAGCTGAAAGCAGCCATAATGTGCCACGCTGATTGCAACTGGGTAGACTCATTGCCTTTGGTGTTATTAGGCATTAGAAGTGCATTTAAGGAAGACCTCCAAACTTCTTCCGCCGAATTGGTGTATGGCGAGCCATTACGTTTGCCCGGGGAATTCTTCCTCCAGGCAACGTCCCCCCACTCCACCGACGTTTCGGAGTTTACCACTCGCTTGCGCCGATACGTATCAAAATTGCAACCAGCACCAGCAGCACGGCACAATAAAGGTAACATCTTTATTTATAAAGAGTTGACTTCTGCCAGTCACATATTTTTAAGGGACGACACAGTACGTGGGGCATTGCAGCCACCCTACACCGGTCCCCATGAAGTATTGGAGCGAGGGGAAAAGACCTTCAAAATACAGGTCAAAGGGAAACGTATGACGGTATCCATAGACCGCCTCAAGCCAGCCTACATATTGTCTCACACACCTGATTCCCCTTCCACCTCCACGCCCAATTCCCATCCTAGTTCCCTGCCTGACCCTGTTTCTATAGGGCAAAATACCACACCACAGGATCTTGTCAGAAGAACGCGTTCGGGCCGCAGAGTTAGATTCCCCGATTTTTATCGCCCGTAGTAACGGTCTCCGGGGGGGGAGTGATGTGGCGGCTAAATATTTTAAATTAATATGTATTTGTTAATAATAAATATTTATTTATTAAATCTTATATATGTTTCTCATATCTATATTAAGTATATATTATTTTCACATGTTTTATTATTAATCACATGTAGCGTATTCATTTATTAATTTTATTTACCAATGTTTACGATCGCTATCAACGTTCAGCTGTGCCGCGACGCGACGCGGCTCACCTAACGTTTTTTATGTACGATTTACCGATCGGGCGCCCGGCGACGGCGATTCCGTCCGAGCCCGTGCTACGTCATAAGACACTCGCGAGACGCGGTACATTAACTTCTATCGCCAGTCGCTTGTTGCTTCCCGCTGCGCTTACGCTTTATCAGATATTACGTGTTGTCATAGTTCCGCTGTAGTTGCTTATTTTCGCTATCCTCTTTTGTTATTGTTTTGTGCTATCTTTTACTCCTTCTGACTTTCTTTTGTGGTCGTATATGTGTGTAGACAATAAATGTTGTGAACAGTGCATTGACTTTATATATTCACCCGACACACACGAACTCACTTCCACCTACCAAAGCGTATCCTTTTATGTGTGGGTGGACAATAAAGTGTTCATTCATTCATTCATTCATTCACCTGGCGGCTGTTGTGCTGGGGCGAGGGCAGCCCCCAGGGGTCCAGCGGCGCGGGGGCGGGCGCGGCCGCGCTAGGGCTCAGATTCACGTCCAGCAGGTCGAGGAGGTGCGACTGCTGCGACTCCGGCTTCTTCTCCACCACGCCGCTCCTGGTGAAGCAACATGTCGAATATACTTGCATCGTCTACTTATTTATTTATTTATTTTTAAACTTCATACACAAAACAGTACATAGGCGGACTTAATGCTGACAGCATTGTCTACCAGTCAACCTTAGGGTGGTACTGAGAAGTTGAGGTAGGTGCACAAACACAGTTATAAACAAAAAAAAATACATAATTATTAAATATAAAAATATAACACATAATATAATTTATAATAATTATGTTATGTGTTATATAAGAGTTTTATAATAACTCACTCTTATATAAACTCTTAGTTTACAACTTTTTATTAAAATATACATAGCTCTAATGAAACTTTGATGTTATAAGTATATGTGAATCGTGTTTATTTATACATCAGGTACAGATGAGAATTTAATTTAGTTCACCTGATGTTAAGTGGATACCGCCGCCCATGAACATCTGCTACACCCGAGGGTTATATAACATATTCATTTAACATTGTGCATATAGTATCTTGGTGTACTAGTTCTATTACAACAAAAAAACCGTGTTCGACTGTTTCATTTCTTAATTTATCAGATTTTTGTTCTATTATCTTCAAAAATAGCCGCGTTTGACTGTTTAATTATTTATCTTAATTTAACAGATTAACCAGCAATGCATTCAAAGCAACTTTCGTATATAGGCTTAATACTATATAGGCGGAACAACGAAAAATATGTAATTAAAAAAAGTCTAACAAATATTACGAAAAATATTAAAGTTAATAACAAATTTAAAATACTGAGTCGTGCTCCAGTTAAAATTAAAATGTCTTTAAATTTAAAGTGTAAGTATGTCTAAATTCAAACTAATATTGTTATTAAAGATTATTGGATACATGGCTTTGCTATTTTAGACCTAATTTTTATTTTTTAGATCATTGAAACGGATATAACACTAGCTGTCTCTTTCTACTTCTACTATGCAAATACTATTCGCTGTGCAAACCGACTACGTGTTCATAATGCGCTTCAAATAAGAATGTGCTCGTCATTAACCTCGATCTAACAAAAATCACTAGAAAAGTACAGATAGCAAAACAATAAAATATTTTGTGCGTGTGTATGTCACTGAACTCCCCCTAAACGGCTGGATCGATTTTAATGAAATTTTTGTGTCTTCCGGTCAATTCGAGAATGGTTTCGATTCAAAATTCGTTCTTTTTTTTTAATTTATAAGTTGTCGCCAGATTTAAGTACTATAATCTTAGTGAAAAAATAATACATAATTATGTATTACGTTTTTCAATTACCAATAAACTACTGGCAGGGGGAGGTCAACCAAGTCAGGCGTATAGAAAATTGTTACCAGCATCGAGAGTTTAACAGAAGTTGTTGATAATTTTAGTTTCGAAACACATATTACACAATAAATATTTCTATTAATCTAATTATTAACATTTGTCATGTTCTAAATATCAATCAATGGGATATTTTAATTACATAAAAAAATTATAGCGAAAAGCAGCAGTGAGGATGAGATTTTTTCGATTTGACAGCTATGACGTCACTATATGGCGCGTTTTTATTCACATTCTTATTTGAAACGTGTAGTGTGTAGAGACTAACCGCGCGAAGCGTCCCGTCGGGTTCGAACCCAGCGACCAGCAGACTTGACCCGTGGGCGCGTAGAGGCCGCACGCGCTCAGCCACCGCCGCACCCTGGCGGGGAGGGGGAGGGGGAGGGGGAGGTCAGGTGGGCTGGATGTTCAGGGAGGGGCGGAGGGCGGCTGGGGGCGATGGAGGTGTGCTTTCTGGTACAGGGTGTTCCGCGAGGTCGAGAGGTCTTTACGGCATCAAATGTGTCGTTGTGCATAGTCTATTTTCATTCGAAAGTGGAATCCATAAGAACAATGGCCAAGGAACCCTTGGAAACACGATCGCACTTCTGCGTTTGCGTGACCACGCGTACGTGTGCGTGCGTGCACGCAAACATGGCTGGCAACGCACGAAGCTTACTTGAGTGTGTGCGTGTATAAAAACGAGCACGCCTTATTACACACTCACACACTGAAAGGTGCGAGCGATTGAGACACTTAATGCGTCGCTGTGGTTACGCATAAATACGAGCTAGCGTGCGCGTTGCGTGTGTCTGTGTGCGTATTTAGTGACACTAAGATTAACGCCGGTCGTGTCGGGACTGGTGAACGGCGTGCTGCGGGCGAATGTTACGTCTAAATACGTGCTAGCGTTTGTATGCATGTGCTAGCGTGCGCATGTGTGCGTGCGTGTTGCGTGCGCCCGTGCGCCTGTGTGCGTGCGCGCGTGTCGGCAACACTCACTGCAGGTCGTGCTGCGACTGGCTGATGGCGAGCTGCAGGCGCACGTCGTCCGAGCGCCTCCTCCTCTCCTCGCGCTCGGCCTCCTCGCGCGACATCGCCAGCGCCAGCTGCAGCTGCAGCTCCTCCTCGCCGGCGGTGAGCGGCCGCGCGAGCTCCGACTCCCGCCCGCCCCACTCCGCACCGCCCCCGCCCGAGCTGTTCAGCTGCAACGAGAGCGTGCAAAGTCAGCTCGCAGCTAGGGATGTCCAAAGTGAAGGAATATATTGATATATCGATCGATATCACGTGTGGTACAATGGAGGGCTTTACGCTTCTCGGAGATGGTCTGTAGTGGATCTGTTAAAGATTTGGATGGACTGTGTGAAGTGTGCGTTGAGATGACGGCTGATAGAGGGAAGTGGGAGGAGAGAACATGTAGTGCCGACCCCGTCTATTGTGTGGATAAGGGCAGGAGAGAGAAGAAGACTTGATAAAATTTGACTACCAAATTTGATGACTCCGCGACGCAGTTGACATGGGATTGGCTTCGGTGTTCGATCCCCGCACGGGACAACTATTTGTGTGACCCACAGATAGTTGTTTCGCATCTGTGTGTTGGTCCGCGTGAAATTTATGTGTTAAAAAAAGAAAAAAAAATCCTAAAGCAGAACAAGTGATAAATGACAACCACAAAACATAGTTAAAAGGTAAAGAAGAGCGGCATTAACCTCCCACCCCTAAGCATCCCTAGTCCTAAGGATGTAGAATGAAATGGCGATAGACGAAAGAGTTAAAAAATAGCAGCAAACAACATAAAAGATATGGGACCCCTCACCGCTGGGTAAGTGGGGCTGGACGGTGAGTCCAGCGCGGCGTCGCTCCCGAAAGCGCTGGCGCCCTGAGCGAAGCGCTGTTTCGCTTTAAGCGCGCGGGCGCGCTCGTTCTTCAGACGCTCCTCGTCCTTCAGAAGGTTGACCAGCTGCTTCGCCTTCTCGCGCACGTTAAGACCTGCAAGTAAGCGGGTGACCATACATAGCTTACACACCTTACAGCTGGACCTTAATGTCGACAAAGTTCAGCTGTAAAAAAAGTTGCCCGTTGACGAGATGCAATGTCATGTCCTGTTGTTATCTGTATCGGTTTTCACACGAACGTTTCCAAACGTCGGGAAATAACATTAAAAATAAACGCCGTAATCCAAAGATAACTTTCATTTACTAAAGTTTTTCTTTTAATGCGAAAAGTTACCAAACAAGCAGGCGGTTCACCTAATGTTAAGTGATTATCGCCGCCCAGGAACGTCTGCAACACCCGATGGCTTGCTGATGTAAAAATGGCCCCTCAACTTTACTCTCTACGTTAACGTTACCTCACTCACCAGACGAAACGCGAAAGTATAATACTTTCGCTTCACGCCTGTCTTCTGCGAGGCCGTGGTGCTTCCCCGGATGAGATTTTGTGCAACAGTAAAAGTAATCCCGTCTCTTACAGCCCTCTCTGATAATATTTAATGGTGCTAATCTCTGCACTTAAGATGAAACATTAAAATTTGTGAAAAACCAAAGAAAATTTTTACGCCGCTGCGGGAATCGAACCCATGCTTCTGGATTTGGGCGCGAATCGCTTCCGTTTATTACGTGACTAAAATAACGTCTAGCCAAAAAACCCAACACATAAGAATCTCTTGTCAATATTACACTTTTGTCTAAGCTTTTGTCAGTAAGATGGTCTAAGCGGCTCAAGAAAAATTAGCATAGCACCAAGCTATCACCAAGCTATTTGTGAGCGAAGATACCCTTTAGCGATTCTAGGTCGCAGCCTTCCGTTGTTTACCGTCAATTAACGCCTATCAAGAACAACACAACAGGAAGGTCGACCGGTTGCCAAGCAATGACATCACCGCCGTAGTAATAAAAGCCCACGATACGATAATACGTCAGATATGGGCGCTTGCAATAAATCGCTATATGGTGCAAACAAGGGTCGCTCAGTATTATGTAAGAACGCTTGCGTATGATAGGGAGGGATTCCCTGATTGGGGCATTCCGAATTGTTACTTTTGCTGACGCTTTTATTAGTTTCGCTGACGAGACGATGAGATCAAGTCTACAAAAGATACGATAAAAGTCACAAATTGAAGCGGAAGAAACCTGTGAAGTGCCTAAGGTTAAAAATGAAGGAAGAACTAGCAATGTACTCGTAGAATTAAGATTTAAAATTCTCTTGCGATAATTCTTTCGCGGCGATATTAGCAATTTGAAATTATGATTACAATTTCTCCTACATAAGAATTAAACGCTGGTTAAGTCTAGACTGGCTTTACGGACTTTATTATGAGAATAAAAGCTTGTTTATCAAGTTAAGAAGACAGACCACCATCCGACAATGGGCAAAGTCATAACCGCAAAACGGGGATCTCGTTGGAAAGGGTTAATAATCCAACGTAAAAGTGTGTCTATAACAATGTATTTTTGTAGAGAACAGAGGGAGAAAGTACGGCACATTCCGACTGCCTAACATGGATGCAAACTGACGCCCGGTTTCTGAAACACTGGTCATCGTAGAAGTTAACTAATCAGCTGTCAATGTAACGGCTTTTCATGTGTCAATGGCTCGTTTGAGTTGTCAAAAGGATGGTTAAACTCTCTGAATTGATCAGAATGATCTTCTTAATGATCGGAATCACAAACAAACATCTACGATCATCAGTGTTTCTGAAAGCGGGCGTGAATGTCTTGAAGAATTTATCACACGTTTTATATAATCTGTTAAAATAGGTCCCCTTATTAATTGCGATCCAAGCTGAGGTTCGGACCTCCACTTGATGGGCCCTTTGATCGTTTCGTGCCCCCCCCCCCCCCCCCCACCCCCCTGTTAGTCGATTGTCCATCTTTCTTTAGCAGGGCGTTGGGGAGTGCAGCCGAGCGGACGGCGTCTTCGTACACCAGCTACGTTTTTCTCCCGAGTCCGCTGAAGCTGTCAATGCCAAAGGGCCGACAGCAAACTGCACGTCACAAGAAAAAAAACTTGCTTTAAACACAGTAAACGAAAATCCAGCGGGAGAGCTCACCTTGATCCTTCCCCTCCTCCATGTACTGGAAGTCTTTCAGTGTGTGAATGGCGAATATATTCTCCTTGCACTGCATCGCCACCTTCTCGCTGCCGGTTTTTATGAGGTACTCCATCAGCACGAGCGCCTTGTACACGTGCCGCCAGTTCTTGCCGTGGTCGTTGAGCCGCTTCCATATCATCTGCATTATCTCCGTGAACGCCATCACGTTGTACGTGAGGTCGGCGATCTCCGCCATCAGCGTGCTGGATGGGCCCCATGGGTCGTTGGACGTTGCCTCGCGCACTTTAACCTTCAACAGCGTTAATTATATCTATATGTGTCACATTCATAACTGTTTATGCAAGAATTCCGTCTGCACGGATGGGGAGATAGTTTGCGTTTTTTTTTTCATATGAGAAAGTGGCAAACAAGCTGGCAGTTCACCTGATGTTAAGTGATGACCGCCGCCCATGGACATTTGCAACACCCGTACGGTTGCAAATGCGTTGCCACCTTTAAATAAAGTGAGCGCTGGCTACCTCCTTCACCAGAGTAGAAGTGTAACACTTCTACTTTACGCCGGTCTTCTGTGTTGTGTATTAATACGTGAAGCAAAAACTTTGTACCCCTTTTTAGAAAATTGCGCGGACTGAGGAGTATGTAATTTCCCACACTTATAGTTTACATAGAGAAGGAGTGCATAATGCTCTTATTTTTTTAAAAATTATGCATAAAAATGCATTAAATTCATATAACACACACAAGCATATTTATTATTTATTATATTGTATTGATTAATATTGTTCAAACTTATAATTTAAATTAATCATGGTCGAATTTGGACCACTCGGCGTCCACTAGTATGTAGTTAATTTGTGACGTAACGAGAATTTAGCACTCACGAGCAGTCGCCGCGGAAGCGTGCCGATGAGGAAATGATGTCACAATCGCCCCGAGCTAAGGTGTGCACACACCTTGTCGACGGACGTTTATAATATAAAATTAAATGGACAGACACGCGCGCGAGGGTCGATCACTTAAAACAAGCAGATCGGCAAAACAACATGTTTTAAATAACTGTCAAATGTGTCGACGCCTTTTGTTCGGTGATGAACAGTGTATGACATTTTTGTTGTGTGAACCGTTGACGGCAATTATGGTCCCGTAACGGTGGTGACGTTGACTCGTGAAACATTCTCATTTTGTCCGTATTACGTGCTTTGTGTGAACAACGACGGGCGCGAGTTAGCGAGAAGGAAATCAGTTAATTTAGAGCAATATCCAGCTGCGGATTGTTTTGGCCTGCGATGGTAACTATAAATATAAAAATATACAAGTCGAGTAAGTTTTACAAGTAGACCAAATAAACGCTAGAGAGGACTACAGAACAAAACAAACCGAATGACATCGATAAATTTGAGACATTTCGATACATTTCGATAATCTTGCGGTGAAAATTGAACTTGCGTTCAAAATTTTAACAATCAAAATTAAATATGGCCAATGTATTACAGCAAAGGGGTCGCGCAATGGATTACGCTCAAATACCCTCTATACAAAAGAGGCCTTTGTCCATCAGTGGGACATCACATATAGGCTGTTGTTTTACTTTTGGCACCAATTCAATCTAACTGATCGATCTAAGCCTTCTCAAGTGCAAAGACTGAAGTGCTTTTGTTGCAAATATGATCATAATCAGAAAATTAAGTCGGTCTATCGTTGGTACATAGTTTATCACACCGTGCTGAAGTTCTAATTTCTACCAGCCTTCAAGGAAATCGTCCTACACCAGTGGACGGTCACCCACGTGAAGTTGAAACAAAAATCGCAAGGAAACATCTACACAAGGCTACGATATGATAATCGCTTTTATGCGCACGTGCCTTTGCGGGGCGAGGAATTCCGGAAGGCGCACTGTGTACGCGGATTGGGTTTGAAATGTAGTCGTTAATCGTTTGATACTTGGAGCAAGCGGGCTCGTCTTAGTACAGTTTATTTCTTGTCCTTTTCTGAATAGTTTTTTTTATGTGAAAAGATAGCAAGCAAACGAGGTGGCGGTTCACCTGATGTTAAGTGATAACCGCCGCCCACTGACATTTGCAACACCGGAAGGATTGCAGATTCGTTGCTACCTTTTAATAAAGCGCACCCCGGCTACCTCACTCACCAGACAAAACGCAGAAGTATTAATACTTTCACTTTACGTCGGTCTTCTGTGCGGTCGTGGTACTTTCCCGGACGGACCTGCCCATTCGTGCAACAGCGAGGACTGTTGCGTGGTCCTACCACAGTGTCTGTTGGGCTGACGATCACCTAATCTGTCAGATTATCCATGGAATGGACATCTGCAATAACAGTTGCTTTGTCATGTTCTTCAACAGTATAAGGAATGGGCAAGGCATATTTTATATTAGAAATAAGACGCCAACGAATAACGAATAAGGATTTTTCAAGCGAGAAGCACGCCGACTTTAGTCCGATTACTTGTCTTATCGGATTTCGACCGCAACGGAAATGATTGAGTATACGAGTCATATTGGGTCATTGATCAAGTTAATATTAAGCATTGTTCAATGATGTTAGTACACGGATCACGTGAATAACGAACATTGTTAAATGATACTGTATTACTGAAATTTTTAAATTATTAGTTTTTAAATTTTAAAAACGAAAACACTGGTGGACCACAATGACCACTACCGATAAATTTACCGCTATTTTAAGGGTGTTTAACCGTCTAAGTAAATCTTACAAATATTGCCGCAATAATTAATATACGCATAAGGTCACTGATAGGAAACGTTGAACAGATTGAGGACACGTTTTACGCGGAAAAGATATTTCCGCCTTGACCTTCGCAGTATTTGCGGCAAGGTGATGAGTTTCCAATAAACATAAGTAACCATTTTTAAATATCTAAGAGTGATTTGTTTTAACCGCAAGAAAGATTCTACTGTCACGTTAGTCGGTTCGTTCGGGGAAGTACCGCCCGTTCGCAGATGTGAACTTCCCAGAACGCGAGGTGGTAAATCCCCGAATACATATACGTTTAATCCGAATAACAGAAAAAAGTGTTGAGTGAAACAGAAGTCTTTTTCTTTCTCCTGCCCTTACACCACACTAGATGGGTTCGGGTCTATGTACGCTATATAGTCCATTACAAGTTTCTTCGGTATATCGCCTCCAAAAAGGAAAAAATCCTGGAGGAGTTCGGCATCCTATGAGAGTCATGGTAAAAGTGGTTCAAGCTAGTATAGTAGTGGTTTTTTACGACCGGCCGCCCATCTGACATCAACCCTCTTCGGGAGCAAAACCCAAAACGGGAACGATTATCTGTGAGCCACAAAAATATTTGTCCCGTGCGGGAATCGAACCCACGACCCAGACGCCGAAGCCGGTAGCTTAGCAACTGCGCCACCGGGTCATACTGCCGAGTGAGTACAGATTACATATAGGGTCCAAGTTCTCACCTGGGCATCGGAATAGTTGTGCGCGAGATTTTTAATATTCCTCCTTAGGCCCGCCACGTTTACTTGCATTTCGTCCCGGCTACGGGGCATCTGTAACAAGGGAAACACACGTTATTAGTAAGAACGAATTGAATTTCAATTTATTCCCTTCGTTATGTAAGTTCGGACCGCGGTAGGGCCACGAATGGACGGGTCCGTCGTGGTAAGTAACACGACCTGACGGAAGACTGGCGTGAACTGGAAATGTCATACTTCTGCGTTTCGTCTGGTGAGTGAGATATCCGGGGCTCAATTTACTATAAGGTGGCAACGCATCTACAGACCTACGGATGTTTGCGAATGTCAATGGGCGGCCGTTATCACGTGACATTGGGTGAACTGCCAGCTCGTTTGCCACCTTCTCACATGTAACATGTGCATATAAATGTAATGAAATTTATCGTCGAAATTCTGAAAATGTTTGTTACAGTTAAATTCACACTCGATCACCTTAGCATCGTATCAAAGAAGAGAGGCGGTGAGCAATATAGGTTTTGTTTCGTCACATACGAAAACTGGCAAATCATGAATGTAAATCCAAAAGATAAGTAAGCATGTAACGCGCTCTATCGATCGATGACTCCGATAAAGTTAAAGGCGTAGTCACCTTTGCAAAGTTAATGATAAAGAACATCTTAAGCCCGGCAATTCTCCATTACCTGAAACCGTCACCATCAGAATAATACTCGAGAACAGGGATATAACCTATATACACCTTATAGTATATACATATGTATACCTTATGGTTTTTGATCACTTCCCTTATTAACCAGAAAAGCCGCTCAGATATTATTTCTCTTTCTTTTTAACCGACCTCAAAAAAGCAGGTTTCACAATTCGACCGTATATATTTTAATTTTTTTTATGTGTGTTCGCGGATAACTTCGTCGTTTATGAACCGACTTTGATGATTCTTTTTTTGTTGGAAAGGAGATATCCTGAGGGTGGTACCATGATAAGGAAACCCGGATATTATGATGGCACCACGGAGAAATCGAGAGCAATCCTCAAATGTTATAGGTATTAACAAGGTATTAACAATGTTTTCAGTTTCCTGTCGGTTTTTTTTTTGTTAATAAACATTATAAACTGAGAGACAGGCCTACAAAGTTATTTATTATATTTTTTCAGTTATAAAAGAAAGTGGAAAGCAAGCTAGCGTTTCACCGAATTAATAATACTTCCACTTATAAGTCGAAATTTCTTTATTCAATATAGGCTTTTTTTAAGCTGTTATTGAACGTCAAAAAACCTATCACCGGTTTACTTATTTAGACCTCTACAGAAAAAAAAAACTGCTAGCATTTTCCGTGTTCAGTTAGGACGCGGTAGTGTCTCGGAGCCTGCCCATTTTTGCAACAGCAGAAGCGGTTACACATGTTGCACCATTTACAGCACGGTTAAACTTTAGTACCCGGACAGAATTTAGTATCGCGTGCGCAAAAAATGTTTTTTGTTTAGATTACCCTCATGACTTCAACACCCGATCGCTTAGTGGCCAACACGTCGTCACATGATCCGAGGTGGTGGCTTCTAATCGCCTTTGATTGACACTATCGAGCCATCAAAATGGCGTTATTGAGACAATTTGCGGTTAGCAGATACCTTTTTCTCTTTACTTCCTTCATTACTACTACAATAATAAATGCATAGTCAACTTTATTTAGAGATTTCCTAAAAGAAATAATAATAATAAACAACAAAAAAATCAACATTAACTTCAAACGTGCGCGTATAACCAGAATAGCGGAACTTTGTTCGTCTATAGTTTGAAAATAAATTAAATATGTATTATTTAAATCGTCGCTTTTTTATTTTATTTTAAACAGTACATTTAACGGTTTACATTTGCATTTTACATTTAATAGTTTTACAGTTTCACATAACAATTCATGATGTACACGTTAGTTTTAGAGCAATGGTATACTAGCATACAATGGTAAGGCAAAATGAAATTATAAATAAGAAGAGTTAATAAAAGGAAAAAAATATAAACTTTAGCAAGTTACCAGTACTTTCTTAATCTTAAATTAAGTAAAAGTATCGTTAAATATGTCTACACAAGGCAATTCGTAGCAAATTGCAATTCGTATTTCGTATTCACAAGCTTTTTCTATAATTCTAAGACAATACAATGTATTTTATAAAGTGGTGACTTTGGGGCGAGGACGACGCCTTGAGATCCGGTATAGCTACTTGTATAAACCGTAATCTGCAACCGGTGACATCTGAACTAAAATATCGCATTACAATTTACCATATAATGAAAATGTCGTATCCTTTTATTATTTTCAATTATTTTCAAGGGACGACAACTGACTGAAGGAATCGTATGATGTCGGCGACAACCGCCCATGGACAGTCACACCATACCATCGCATGTTATAACTATTCAGAGAGCGAGTCTCTGATATCATCTATCACCAGAGAAAACACAAAAGTGTAGACACTTTTTCTTTATACTGGTCTTTTGTAAGAGTGTGGAGTTTGAAGTATTTCTCGGACATGTTCGCCTTTTTTAAGTACCAGGAGCAACTGCTTTCGTAACAGCTTTCGTAACTACGAAAGCCGTTGTTGGTATACCGCGAACAAGAATAATTTTGTAATCGAACCAGCGTCTCAATCTCCAATTATTCCGTCCAATTAAAAGTATACAGACATATCCTGAAAACATAAGTGCACCATTAAGCTCATTTCAAGTGACAGCCCTACCGTGCTCCTCGACTAGTAGGCAGCCCTACTTCGCCCGTGTTATGACTAGACGTAAACAAAAGAAGGCGCCCCGTTCGCTACACGTAGGCAATGGAGGTTTGAAGGGCGAGCGGAGAGTTTTGTTAGTTTCAACTAGACGAAAAAACGGCCAGTGTAATCCTTAACCAAGTTGATTTCAGGGGAATGTAACCTAAGAAAACACGTCTAATTAGCACATCACTACGTAGTATAAAAAAAAGTCGTCCCGCTGCCTGTTTGTCCCTGTGTATGCTTTAAAACTAAGCCACGATTTTTTACCAGATAGAGTGATTCAAGAGGAAGGTTTATATGTATAATACAGTGCACCGGTGCGAAGCCGGGGCGGGTCGCTAGTTTCATTAAGATATAGCTTTTGTGTATTTAGGTGTCTTCATCATCATACACATCTATCTCTCTCCTAGCCGCGTTCGGCTACAGCGACTGTTTTCTAACGTTGAGAGCGTCGCTGATGCGCTCTCAGGTGACTGACGTAGCCGATTTTTGCAGCGAATGTGCGGCCACACTCGCCACAAGTCAGTACCCCTCCGATATAATTATAATAAATAGCCGCAGGTGGTCTGGCCTTCGACTCGTCGCGCTTATAGTCCAGTTCGTTACGGCGACTAGTTTCAAAGTCGCACACTTTGCTGCGCACCGTGTGCCTCCATTTTGTCCGGTCTTCTGCTAGAGTCTCCCACTTGGATGGTTCAATATTGGCTCTTTCATGTGGCGCTTCAGCACATCTTTGTACCGCAGAAACTGCCCGCCTTGTCTGCGCTTACCATTCTGCAGTTCACTGTAAAAGATGAGCTTCGCCACCCTGTTGTCAGCCATGCGGGAGACATGCCCACACCATCGCAGCTGCCGCTTCATTAGATAGGCCTCTATTCCGGCGACACCGGCACGCCTAAGAACCTCCGTGTTTCTAACACGGTCAGACCAATGGATGCCCAAAATGTCACGGAGGCATCTCAGATGGAAAGTATCTAAGGAGCGGATATGCTTGCGATATAGAATCCACGCTTCCGATGCATACAGCAGACTCGGCAAGACGATTGCCATGTAGATAGCTACCTTAGTAGCGAGCTTTATGTCATGCGATCGGAACACCTTGAAACGAAGTTTACCAAATGCTGCTGCAGCAGCTCCTATTCTGCAGTTGACTTCGTTGTCAAGGTGGCACTTAGAAGTAATTGTACTCCCCAGGTATTTAAATTGTTCTACCTGCTTAAGCGAGTCTCCCCCGAGTTTAATGTCAATCTGCGGATTGGCAATTATGTCAAGAGCCATAACTTCGGTCTTTTTGACATTTATCTTAAGGCCAAATCTTTGACAAGACTCATGTAGACTCGACATGAGCTGTTGAAGAGCATCTGGGGATTCCGCCACAAAACATAAGTCATCTGCATACATCATCTCAGAGACTATTGCGTGGGATACTTTAGTGCGTGCCTTAAGCCGAGATAGGTTGAATATACCACCATCGGTGCGATAACGAATACGGATGCCCTCGGATAAAGTTTGAAGTGCCTCCCTGACTACTACTGCGAAGTACAAGGCAAACAAAGTGGGTGCAAGGACGCATCCTTGCTTCACACCACAGGTTACGGCGAAAAATTCTGATTGTTCGCCATTCAAACTTACGCAGCATTGCATGTTATCATGCAGTAGTCGGATCATCCTAACAAACTTCTCCGTGCATCCTAATTTCGTTAGTACCACCCATAAGGCTTCACGAGGCACGCTGTCGAATGCTTTTTCAAGGTCCACGAAACAGAGATACATTGGTTGACCTTGTTCTTTACATTTCTCTTGAAGCTGGCGAATAGAGAAAATAGCCTCACAGGTGCCTCTATCTCGTCGGAAGCCAAATTGGGTTTCAGGTAGAACGCTCTCCGATAGTGGTATTAGGCGGTTTAATAGAATTCGGGCAAAGACCTTCCCTGAAGTAGTTAGAAGGGATATACCCCTGTAGGAGTTGCAATCCGAGCGGTCTCCCTTATTCTTATACAGGGAGCAGATGCGAGAGACTTGGAAGTCAGCAGGTACTCGCTCTTCATCCCACATCTTTGTGAACAACTTCAAGACCGCTTCGTGCAGCTCCTTTCCTCCATACTTTATTAACTCTCCAGGTAAATTGTCAATGCCCACCGCCTTTTTGTTTCGTAGTTGCTGTATAGCAGCTACGACCTCACACAGCGACAGAGGCTCATCCAGCCTAATTACAGTAGGCAGTGCCGTTAACAAACGTCATTTCACGTATTTTGGTACTTTTTTTATTTTTCTGTTTTCGACCACGTTGTAGGTGATGCAGAAGCAGCCGTGGTTACTACCTCCTTAAAAGGTGGGTCAAACCTTTTTTGGGGCACCTTTTCTAGCCCCCTCCCCGGCTGAGCGGGGGAAGCAGGGCCCCCCTAAATAGGGCTGCTTCGTCACTCAGGGGTGCTGCCGAATTCGTACTGTCGACCCAGAGCAGCACAAAAGCGACCACTCGCCCTGAGCCGCCCATGTGCAGACATTATCCACAGCCTGGTTGGCATCACAACCAGACCCCTCTGACTCTGTCCATCGCCATAGGTCTTGAATGAAGATCGGAGTCCGGTGTTAGGAATACAGTCAGATTGCGCAGGAAATATTAAAGTGCATGAATGTTCGCGCTTACACAAATGCACCCTCTCGTCCATACCCCTCTATGCCTGATGGAACGGAGAACCGCTACGATCAGAGAGAGGTTTGGATGCAGACACCTACGGAGATGTCGTTCCGGGTTTTTATTCGAAGTTTGCCTTCTTCTAGGTGATTTATCAAGAGCAAAAGCTGGGGAGCCCACCAAGCTGTGACAGGAAATAATAAAGATGAAGAGAGGATAAGAAAGGTTAGGGATACTGTCATTGCGGAGAGGATTTTGGGGAGAACAGTGACAGTAGCTTGAGCAAGTCGGGGTCGCGCACCCGTATATCCATATTTATTCTCACCGGACAAGCGAGAATATTGAATACCTCTGACTGTAACTCTGTCTGTGCCATCATACACAATGCTAGATGCAATTATTTCATATATTTTATCGTTCATAATTATTTCATAGTTTTATAGTTCCGATCAAGCGTTTCGAATACTAATACAGCGTCGATGGTCACGGGCTCGTGTGTTAAAATTTTAACAATTCCTACAATGATAGACTATTCGACGACATCGTATCAAAGCAGAATAAATCATCTTTTTTCAAACTATTTTTTACGCTAATCTACGATATTAATTATAGTGAATCCTAATAGATAGATATATTTATCCTGCCTAAGGTAAATATGTAACAGGGCTCCTCACTCAAGTTCGGGGCTTACGAGATTACATCGTATTTACATAAAGGAAGCCGTACATGCGGACGCTGAGGCCGTCAAACGTCCGTGCTGATCCAATTACTGGTGCCGGTTAAGGCAATTCGACTATAAACAATCAAAAGCATAGATCGAAATCAAAACGAGAGAGACAACTTGTCTAGAGAGATAAAGGTATTGACTGTTGCTGCTCAATACATTTTTGAAAATGTTTTGTATGTCCATAAAAATAAGGATAAATTTTTAAGACATAATAATGTTCATGATATAAATACTAGGAACAAAAATAAATTGATCCTACCCACAAGTAGACTCCGTAAAATAAGTAAATCTTTTATAGGACAATGTATACGTTATTACAACAAAATTCCAGAAAACGTTCAAAATGCATCAATAGCTAAATTTAAAAAAATAGTAAAAGAACGTTTGTGTGTTAAAGGCTACTATAATATTAATGATTATTTAAATGATAACACACTCTGGTAATGAACTGATCGCTCCAGGCTCTTTCAATCTGAGTTCTTATATTGTATTTTAACGAATTTATGTCAAACTGCTTATTTAAAAAAAAGCCCGCTGAGTTTCTTTCGCCGGTTCTTCTCAGTACAGTGGCTTTCTTTTCCGAACCGGTGGTAGTGTTTTGACTATCAATAAGTGAGTGTAATGCTCCTATGTTGAATAAATACATTTGATTGATTGATTTTTGAAAACGCTCACTGACTTCAGCTTGTCGCTTTTGGTGCTTCTTGACCCGCTGCATTTAGTCGAGTATGTACCGCAATCTCAAAAGAAACTCTACCTAAACCCCATTTCCAAAACGACATGCTTGCTATCAAATTCTGTCTCCCCTTTTCCTTGGGCATATGCATAGGAGAAAGTGACACTCCTTGGGTAACCCTCGCCATAGGGTATCCTTATAGCTAGTTAGCTCGTTCATTTCAGCCTTGCAACATTCTTAATATCAGCACCTGCTGGCCCTGCATCTAGAGTTATGTCTCGAGGAAGTATTTGGACTTAAACTGGTAATGTTGCAGATATCCATGGACTGGTCGCGTTATCAATCATCAGAAGAACCTCTGTCATGTTTAGCACCTTTAATCATGAGAAAGTGGAGTATTTATTTTACGATTGCGAGTTAAGATCACAAATATCACGTCCTCGCGTGTACATATTTTTTTAGCTATATTGACTAGGTTAATTTTTGGAAGTCACGGTGTTATAAAATGATGAAAATTTAGCAACGAGCGGTCATCAAGAACTTGTTTAAAATACAACACAAAAACAACATCGAGTGATCTGCTCCTCCGTTTGCCACTGTTAGAAATGAGTGGCAGAATTCAAACGTGGACTGAAGAGATCGGGAAAGTGTGATTGGCAGACCGGAGATAGACCATCCAGGAGATTGCTGACACTATAGACATTTCGTATGCATGAACGCAAACCATCATAGTCCGTAACGATTTTCTAAGGCCAAATTCGCTTATAGGAAACGAGCTAGCCTCGCAATTCCTCGCGAGCCTTTGTAGATTATCGAGACAAAACTATTACTACATAACTAATGCCGATCATTTATTTCAAATGGAACATTATTTTCCTAGTGACAACTCTGTGGAATACAATAAGTTCGTACCAAATATATATATATCAACAACAACGCGATCCAAACTGGAAACGGAACCTTCTACATTCGCAAATATGATAAGTTTAGACAACACAAAAGGCACTATCTTGGTATCTGAAATGACGCGTCACCCGAAAAGATAAGGCGTATTTCTATCGCGATATGATTTTAATAAGACGTTCGCTATTGGGAAAAAGTGAATAAGTTTATTAATTCATTCCTATATCGAACGGATAACAACGTTGTCTGTGTGGAGGATACACGAAAAACAAAGAATTCTTACACGCAGTACTCAAAAAACCGACTAAACGTCCACCACCAATCTCCTGTCAAACCACAGATTTTAATATTGTCTTCTTAATTTTACGCGAATATTATAAAAATATTAAATGAAACTAGTTTACTGACTGTTTCGCGTTTTTATTTTTATTTCGTAATACCCGACGTTTCGAACCCTTTCGCGCGTTCATGGTCACGGGGCAGACTAAAACTAGTTTCATTTAACATCCATATTTTAAGGTAACTTGTCATCCACACGAGGGGTGCATAAAGACTCGTAACGAAGATTCGAAACAACGTTATGAACCCAAACGATTTTCATAGAGTTCCCAGTCTCCAACTGTATTGGCTACTTGAAAAAGAATACAGACGAGTAAAAATGAACATATCAAATTGCATACTCACAAACTGACAAGCGGCGTCTTCTCAAAGTGATGCACATACAACGGACCGAGAAACCGAAACACTGAAACTGAAACCAATCGAGGGATAACTCGCGTCGCGAACACCGCCTCGCTACTCGGAATTCGGCTGAGGTGTAACAACACTTTCGCGCTCTACCGGGCCCGATAAGCTATCGCGGACGCTATCGAGATGCCCGATTGCTTGCGGTGCGGTGTCGCATGGTGCGCTGTGCGACGCTCTACGATGCACAGACGTGGCCCGCGAAAGAGCCCTTTGGCGTTTGCCGCGCTGAGCTACGCGGGTAAGGGCGAACGCACACTGGGATGATTCCTGCATTTTTGTGCCGCGCGGAGCTACGCGGGTAAGGGCGAACGCACACTGGGATGATTGCCGCATTATTGTGCCGCGCGGAGCTACGCGGGTAAGGGCGGACGCACACTGGGGTGCGTTAAGCATTTTTAAAACAGAGTTCCTTCCTTATAGCGCGGTACGCGGTACGTACGGACGGGGGCTGGGCGAAAAGAGGTGTAAGAATATTTCCGTCACGACCTTATCGTCACGATATTACCATGGCGAGCAACTTTTAGAAATTTACACATAAAAAGCTATTTAATTAAAACGTTATCAATTGCATTGTAAAATTTTAGTTATCGGAAATATAATACGTTTATCAATAATAATATACTACGAAAGGGCCTTCGTTGCAACCGAGTGTTTGACGACACAAACGCATTTCGTGTGTCTCGTGAGGACAAAAAGAACTCTAACTGTTTGTCAAAGCTCCAATGAAACGGGATTTATTTCCTAGCTATTTTGTTTTTAAACATTGCACTTACTTTAGGATAACATTATCCTGTATTGTAACGACGTTTTACAAACATAAATTTCACGCAGACAAATACCCAGATGCGAAATATCTGTGCGTCACACAAATAGTTGTCCCGTGTGGGAATCGAACCCACGACCCCCGACACCGAAGCCGACACCTTGGCAACTGCGCCACGGAGTCATCAACGAGCGTTTGTTATGAGGAGATTCGTTTACTTCATTGACTGAACGAAGCTGAAAACGAATGGTAAAAAACTCAGCCGTGTGTGCGTGCGTCCTAAGCGAGGTGGGGCGGGTGCATCAAAGTGGGAGGAAGCGCTACAAAGGCCGTCTGCGTAGCGTCGACTCGTCGTAGCTGGGGCCGTGGACGTGGTAGAGGCCGTGGAGTCGCCTGCTCGTCTACGCTAATGGAACGGAGGGTGCCGAAGGGATTAATTGGAAAAAAACCCACCGCGCTCACGTCTTTTACACGCGTCGGCGTTGTAAAAGCTAGATATGGTGTGCATACAACTATTCTATTATAACCTACGAAGGGCTTAGGGTCTACTAACCTTTGAAAAATTGAAAGATAGTTAAACTATTTGAATTGATTATTCTAATCATTAAGATCATTCTGATCAATTCAGAGAATTTAATCATCCTTTTGGCAACTCAAATGACATTTGAAAAGCCATTTAACAGCTGATTAGTTAATTTCTACAATGATCAGTGTTACAGAAAGCGAGCGTGAGTGTAAAAAGCGCGCGAGTCAGTGGCGCAAAACGTAATAAACTAGTTATATTACAAGAGAATGGATATTTGAAAGCGTTTGCAAGCCGGTTCTACTCTACACGCATCAAAGTTTGTAAAATATTTATTTATTTATTTATTTAAAATTAGTGTAGTATTATAAATAGTGGTAGACTTCGGCGTTCGTAAGTGAAACTAGGGGAAAATCAATAAAATATTTTGGCTCTCACTTCAACTTTGAATTAAAGTCTACGGTGACCACATATTGACGCCCTTGTGTTATTTTAGGTTATTTATCGTTTGAATTATCTCGAATGTGACGTGACGTAATAATATGCTTATTAGAAAAAGTTTCTGATATCAGCTTACTATTACGTTTAACGGTAACTATGACATATTACCAACGAAAAATTATTATTCCTCGCGCCGAGTAAACACAAAGATAGAAAAAATAAGGTAATATTAATAAATAAACTATTCTTAAATAACAATAAATAAATTATTCTTCTCTTCGCTTTGAATTCATTAATTAAGCACCCCGAGATCCGAACGTGGACCTAGCAGTGAAACTGTTATCTTGTCTTAATTGTAGTTGCTGAAATATCACAAGGTAGAAGCGTGGTGTAGGAAAAGCGAATGGAACAAAACCATATTTTTAAGTTATAAAAATTACAAACATTTCGCAGATTTGCGAAAACCGTATGGCGGACTTTACCCTCCAACTTCTAAACTAAATGTCTACGCCCAGCAGTGGGAACGTGTATAAGCCTATTTCTTTTATACTTAGCTATAGGGAGTATTTATGACAAAAATGACACGGCCCCTAGAGCAAAAAGGTGCCCAAATAAAATTTTTATTGATATAATAACGAAAACTATAGGGTTTCAAAAGCTACAAAAATTGCTACTGGATGGGCAAAACAATCTTTAACAAACTACCACAGAACATAAAACATCAACCGTCTAATAACTTCAAAAAGTGCCTAAGGGAGTGGCTTCTAAAACACACATTTTACTCGGTTAAGGAATTTCTAGATCATAAATAAAATCAGTATTGACATGTTAAAGTACATATTATAAAATCTTGTATCAATTTAATGTATAGAAATTGTATTTTTTTTATATCAAATATAATACTAGTTATTAAATACAAAATAACGAATATTTGCATGCTGCATATATTATGGCTGAACTTGGAGGTCAATAATTTTGTAAATCAACTTCTTAATCACCCAGTTTAATGACAAATAAAGATTATTATTATTATTATAGGCAGTATTAGGTCTAAACACTAAAGACACGTATAAATTGACGTGGTGTATTGAACGTAATTTATACCATTCCTTTCGTCCGTACTAATTAATTCCGTCGTAATTAAGAAAGCGACACAAACACACAAAGCACTGCGACAAAATCAATACATTTCTATCCTTAATAGAAATTTCGTGTTGGCGTTTAATTGGATCGGAAGCCTTGTTATCGGTGTTAATTACTTTAACTCCCCCACCCTCTTGTATACAATCTATATAGGTCTTAATAACTTCTCTGGCCTTGGCATAAAACAGTATTTCACGGCGTGACTTAGCCTCCTGTATATTCCAAAAAGTATTTTGAACGGCGCTTTACGAGTTTTTATCCTATTTTGGATATATTTTGATGAATGATTGATTAACCTCAGGAACATAAAAATGTACTTTCGGTACGTAACAAACAAAATAACACGTGCAAAATTCAGAGGATGAAGGTTTGTGTTTAAACAACAACAAAAGTGTTTATGAAACACAAGACAGAAAACTTTACCTTAGATTAGTCTTCTCAAGCGAAGTCGGGGCGAGTGAGGTTGTGATATACTCCACGATTGACGATTGCTACCTCCGTTGCATTTTTAAGATAAAAGATTTTATAATAATTTCTTGTATTTACGCGATTACACATTACTAAATGTAACTATTTTTACGTATTTATCGCGTTTATTTTGGTTTTAATCCCCGACGTTTCGAACCCTTTACAGCGTTCACGGTCACGGGACAGACTGAGGCGTTGGACGTCTGAGTGTCATTGTTAATCCGGGCTACCGCCAGTCTTTCAATTTGAAATTTAAATAAAAAAAAACTGCCGGTTAGTTGGTAGAGACGATATGGGATTATCCAAACCTAGTCAAAATCTTAATAAAACCGTTTATCTTGACGCATTCAATAACAACGCAGACAAACAACAAACACATCAATCCTTAATCCGATACATGGTATTCTCCCACATCCGCCATCGCGGAAATTTCCGTGGCCAATCGAAGTATTCCCGGCTAACTGTAATCCACTGTCTTAACCCGCGAAACGGTAAAGCTGTTAATAGAATGTCCGGTAGTATTATAATTTCACAACCAACAGCAACAACGATTTTTCAACAGACATTAAAATAGAGAAGGTCCATAAAAGTTCTAGTTGGAAGGTACTGCTACGTTATAGCAACAAATATATCATTATATCATTAATTAACAAACGTATTCGTTATCGTTATACACACCATCAACGCTATTTATTAGGAATTTGGTTGTTGTAACGAAGATTATATATATATATAAATGCATGTCACCTTATGTAGTTAGCCTGACGATGCTAGCCGATAAGTTTAAACCGTAAAATATTGTTAGTTCAACACGTCCTTATCCTTTTTTTATTAACCATATATAAACCGTCCAGCGGAACACAAGAGTCAAAAAAGTGGCAGGCCGAGGAGTATCCTCTTGGAATAGTCTTATATATCTAGAGAAACTCCTACTGCCATCATGGATGAGATGGAGATGGAGATGACCTGGTTGTTAATGAAATCGCACCATTAATATTTGTAGAAAAATGGACGAAATGTTTCTCGCCGCTACGGGAATCGAACCCACGTCTTTCGTCGTTAGGCATTCAACCGTTAAGCTTAGTGGTTTAAGCGTCTGGGCTCGAATCCGGAACACGTGGGTTCGATTCGTCCCTTTTTCTACAAATTTTGATGTTTCATCTTAAGTGCAGAGATTAACACTACAAAAATATAGAAAGCGCACCAATTAACGATGCAAAAGTTTGCGTGTTAGTGTCAGTGCGTGAATTCGCTCTGCTTGGATTAGATATGTAGGCGCACTCAAATTAGTAACAGGCACATATCACAAATACAATAGACACATACATTGTTATTATATTATTCAACTTTAGATACAAATTTTAATGGTTTTAGATCAAGTCGAACTAAAAAACTGAAAAAGAAATTTGGACATGTTTGACATATAATTACTTGGTGTTCAAAAAAGATATTTCACTAGCGTCCTCCTATTTTTAAGACAGGAAAACAATAATAATTTAACTTTAACGTCAACTCGAGGCGAGTAGACTCTTTCTTTATATTGTTATATGTAAAAATGTTTTACAGATCATATAGCTTTTGATTTAATTTTAGTTCGGACACGATACATGGTACGAGACAGACTTGCTTCATGCAACCAATGATATTATATACAAATACGAGGTAGTTCATACACTAGCGAAACTCAGGCACTCAAATAAAAAGTAAGAAAGAAAGAAACATTTATTTGGCACATAATAACTCAAAAAAATAAAACATATGCTAAAAACTAAACACCTATGATTAGAATGAACCAAAATGGTCACCACTCAGCTTCATATCACGAAGTTGACAATCTTCGTGAATGCTGGTTTTCAGTGGAACCTTGGGGGAAAGAGATAGATGGCCCTACGTAATAGTCGCAAAGAATTAATATTGGATACAATAAATTTAAAAAAAAAAAAACAAGAACGTTTGACTAAAAGTAAGAAACGTTACACAAAGAATAAAATTATTTTAAAACAAATACAAATTACTTATTTTACCTGCCATGCTTGTGTTATGTGTGAAGAAGAT